TAAGCCCCAAGGTAATAGTATGAGGAGGCTGGGGCCTTTGGGATATGATTAAGACATGAGGGTGGAACCCTCATAGTTAGGATTAGTGCCCTTATAAAACAGTCCCCAGAGAACTAGCTTGTCTCTTCTGCCGTGTGAGGTTGCAGTGAAAAGACAGCCATCAGTAAAGAGGCCATCATGAGTCACTGAAACTGCCAGCCTCTTGATTTTCCAGTCTCCAGAACTGTGAGAAATAAATTACCATTGTTTATAAGTCACCCAGTTTATGGTATTTTTGTTTTAGCAGCCCAAACAGACTAAGACAAATGCCATGGGAAAAATACAGCAGGATAAGGAGGATGAGAAGTTCTAGGGTTGGGGGAAACATGGGTTGTAATTTTAAATGGGGTCAAGATAGGCTTCATTGAGAAGGTGATATTTGAATAAAGTAGTAGTTCTCAGCTGGGAGTAGTTTTGCCCTACAGGGGACATTTAGCAATGTTTGAAGACATTTTTGGTTGTCAGCACCAGGGGATGCTTGGGTGGTGCTACTGGCATCTAGTGAGTTGGGGCCAAGGATGCTGTTAAATATCCTACAATACACAGGACAGCCTCCCACAACAAAGAATTATCTGGCCCAAAATGTCAGTAGTGCCAAGGTTGGGAAACTTTGGAATTAAGACTTAAAAGAAATGAGGATGTCAGCCATGTGGAGGTCTGAGGAAAGAGCATTCTAGGCTAAGAGAACAGCCATGGCAAAGGCCCTAAGATAGGAGTGTGGCAGGCTTTGTGGAGGAACTGAAAGTAGGCCCCGAAGAGTAGCAGAAGATGAGGTAAAGATGGTTAATGGGGTCCAGATCATGCAGTGCCTCCGAGGTCATCATAGGGGCTTTGGCTTTTATTCTGAGATATTAGAAGTTTTGATGGGGGGAATATCATGATATGACTTAGGTTTTTTATCAGGATCGCCCTGGCTGTTGCATTCTGGATGGATTGTTGTAGGGGAAGGTAGAAGCAGGGAGAGACCAGTTAGGAGGCTCTTGTGATAATCCTGGTGAGAGATGGTATAGACTAGTGGTAGTAGCAGTGGAGATGGATCTATCTTGAAGATAGAACAACAGGATTTCTTGATGAATTGATAAGACATATAAGAGAAAGAATGAAAAAAAAATTGGCTCTAGGTTTTTGGGAGGAGAAAGTGGAACAATGGAGTTACTATCAACTGAAATGGAAAAGACTGTGGTAGAGCAGTAGGGGTTAGTAGTTCGGTATTTGACATACTTAGTAGGCATCTGAGTGGATATGTTAAATAGGTAGTTGGATATATTAGGATGAGGTTCAAAAATCAGAATTCTTGGAGTCGTTAACATGTAGATGTTATTTAAAGTCATGAGACTGGAAGAGATCACCAAGGGAGTGACAGTGGATAGGAATGAGAAGAGGAACATGGACTCAGCTCGGGGGCACTCCCATTTTAAGAGATCTAGGAGGAGAGGAGGAGCCAATAAAGGAGACTGAGAAGGAGCAGCCAGCGAGGCCAGAGGAAACTGAAAGAGTGTGGATTCCTGGAAGCCAACTGACAGTGAACTGAGGAGGGGGTGTGGGTGCCCATCAGCTGTACCAGTGCTGCTGGTAGGTCAAGTTAAGATGAGGGCTGAAAATTGACCAGTGAATTGCAAAGCATGTAGGTCATTGGTGACCTTAATAGGAGCTGTTTGGTGAAGGGGTGGGGACGTAATTGGAGAACAGTGAATAGAAGGAGAAGAGTGGGAGGCAGTGAATATAGGCAATTCTTTTGAGGAGTTTTGCTACAAAGAAGAGCAGAGAAATGGAATAGTGACTAGTGGAGGAAGTGAGGTTGAGAAGGTTCCTTTTCAAAGGTGGGAGAGTAAGAGCATGCTTGTATATTGATGAGAATGATCCAGCAGTGAGGGAAGGAAATGATGCAGGAGAAAGAGAAGGGAGAATTGGTGGAGCAATGAGTTTAAGTAAGTTCATGTTTTTTATTCCTTTATTTCATTTTAGTAGGATTTTTAAGAAGAATAGTCTGTTATTTAACCAGAAGGCCCTTTCAGTCTTTTTTTAAAAAAATGTTACTGAGATATAATTGACATACTACATTGTGTAAGTTAAGGTGTACAATATGTTGATTTGATACGTTTATACAGTTGACTCTTGAACAACATGGGAATTAGGGGTGCTGACCATCTGTACATTTTGAAAACCTGCCTAATATATCCAAAGAAAACTTTAATTTGAAAAGATACATGCACCCCAGTGTTCATAGCAGCACTATATACAATAGCCAAGACATGGAAGCGACCTAAATGTCCATCGACAGAGGACTGGATAAAGAAGTTGTGGTATATATATACATGATGGAATACTACTCGGCCATAAAAAGAATGAAATAATGCCGTTTGCAGCAACGTGCATGGACCTAGAGATTATCATACTAAGTGAGGTCAGTCAGACAAAAGACAAATATCATGTGATATCATTTATGTGTGGAATCTAAAAAAATGACACACATGAACTTATTTATAAAACAGAAACCAACTCAGAGACATAGAAAATGAACTTATGGTTACCAGAGGGGAAATGGAGGGAGGGATAAATTAGGAGTTTGGGATTAACATATACACACTACTCTATGTAAAACAGATAAACAGCAAGGACTGTCTGTATAGCACAAGGAACTATATTCAATAGCTTGTAATGGCCTACAATGGAAAAGAATGTATGTATATATATAACTGAATCACTATGCTGTACACTAGAAAGTAACACAACATTGTAAATCAACTATACTTCAATTAAAAGAAGAGAAAGTCTGCCTGTAACTTTAGTTGGCCCTCCTTTGTTTTCCCATGTTTACAGTTCTGCATCTCGGGTCCAACCACCCCCACATTCAACCATTTGCAGGTTCTATAGTACTGTAGTAAGTATTTATTGAAAAAAATCTGTGTATAAGTGGATCCACACAATGTAAACCCATGTTCTTTAAGGGTCAGTTGTATATTGCAGTGTGATACTTAGGCATTTCCTTATAAGAATAGGAGTTGTAGTCACTATAAATGAAGAAACCAAGGCCTTAGCTCATACAGTGGAGAAGCTGTATTTCATATTTACTTACCCATTATCTTCCAGGTCAGACTCAGTTTTTCAGTTCCTGTCCTCTAGGACCTCAATGACATTTGAGTCTTGCTTCCAGAACACATTCCTTTCCAACCAGCAAGTAAACAGTTGAATCAGTCTTTCTTTAAACCACCAACTTCAAAATTTGGAAAAATATGTTCAATATAGTTAAGCATATCTTCATTGCATTTATATGAAGTTATTGCAAAAGTGATCAAGTTCAGCCTTAATTGATTTTTACCCTCATAAGCAGTACTTTTTTTGGTGTAACTCTCCCTTCCATGTACCATTTTGGGTTTGTTTGAATATACAGTAGGCCCAGAACACATGCATTATGAAAACAAGAGGACCTAGTGAATCAGATAGTGTGTTCTGTCATGGGAGCAGCTGGCTCGTGTTTGAAAAGTTTGGCTTTAAGGATTTTTGGTATCTTAACAACTAAATCATTTGACCTGTATTTACCAGGAGAAAATGAAGAATCCAACTAAGCTATCCTGTAGTTGGCACCTGATTATATGAAGAAATACAGAAATGATGGGCTTACATCAGGACGTTATAAGTAAGAATGGAATTATAGCAGCTTAGTAGTATATTAGGAATTGCTCCCAGGAGGAATTCAGAGACATGGAAGATAATCGTATTCCACATTGTATATACAATAAACTGAGAGTCTACATGCGAATACCTTTCCTGTTCTTTCATTCATACCTTTGTTCAATAATAATTGTTGAGCAATTATGTGCTAGACTAAGGATACAACTCTGAGCCTTCATGGAGTGTACTGTTTGGGCTACGATGGGTAGGATCCCTCCGTAAGGTCGCAAGGCAGGGATCATGTTTCTTATATCACTGCATTGGTTTGCTAGGGCTGCCACAGACTGGCTTAAACAACATAAGCTTATTTTCTCACAGTTCTGGAGGCTAGAAGCCTAAGCTCAAGGTGTCAGCAGGTTTGATTTCTTCAAAGGCCTCCCTCCTTGGCTTGCAGATGGCTGCCTTTCTGCTGTGTCCTCACTGTGGCCTTTTCTCCGTGCACGTGTCCAACCCTGATGTCTCTGTGTATCCAGATTTCCTCTTATAAGGACAACGGTCAGATTGGATTCAGGCCCACCCTAATGACCTCATTTAATCATCTCTTTGAAGGCTCTATTTCACATTCTAAGCTACTGGGGGTTAGGACTTAAACATATGAATCCTACGGGGAGACATGATTCAGCCCATAACACTCTATCCTTTGGACTCCCAAATTCATGTTCTCACATCCAAAAAACACTCATCCCCATTCCATCAGCCCCAAATTCTTAACCCATTCCAACACCAAGTCTAAATCCCACATCTCATCTAAATATCATCTAAATGAAATGTGGATTAGAGGTATCAATCAAGGTATAATTCATCTTCAAAGACAGAATTCCTCTTTGGCTGTGCACCTGTGCAACTGGACAAGTTATCTGCTTCCAAAATACAATCATAGGACAGGCATAGAATAGACATTCCCATTCCAAAAGGAACAAATCAGAAGGAAGAAAGGGTCACAAATCCCAAGCAAATCTGAAACCTAGCAGGGCAAATTCCATTAGATTTTAAGGCTTGAGAATAATCCTCTTTGATTTGATAACTGTCCTCCGGGCCCACTGGGGTGGTAGCCTGGTCCCACTGAAATGACTGGATTAGGGCCCACCCTAATGGCCTCATTTTAACTTAATCACCTCTTTAAAGACCTTATCTCCAAATCTGGTCACATTCTGAGGTACTGAGGTTTCAACATATGAGTTTGTTGGGTGGTGAGGGATACACTTCAGTTTGTAGCAATCACCCAGCATGAATAATCAGCTGTGGAATTTGTTGGTTTTGCCTGTGTAATATTACTGTTTTCTTCCTAGTACTATGAAATACTCCTTCAACAGTCCCCAATGGAGCCCTGCCTTCTGTTTCATGAAGGTGGGTACTGGCGTGAGCTCATAGTCCGCACCAATAGCCAAGGACATACAATGGCCATCATCACTTTCCATCCCCAGGAATTAACGCAGGTGAGACTCAGGATGATAAGGGGCAGCTTAGTAAGCAACCCTTACTATCACTACACTGTAGTTGGTATTTAGAGGTTTCAGGGCAGAAGCAACACATCCACAGAATATCTGTATGGGTTGGAAAGAGGGGTTGGGGATGATGATGAAGAGGAGCTGGCAAGTATACTCTTAACTATGCTAATGGAATAATCAAACCAAACAGACAGGCTAGGCTACCAAGTTAATTATCATGTGAGGACTCCTGCGTATTTTCACAAGAACTTTGCCCATGGAAGTTAGTGGGTGCTCTACTAAATCCAAAAGCCAATCAATAAGAGACTAGACTATATATAGTCAGAATCTCATAATCCAAATAATACTTTTACATTTGTAATAACGCTTAGAGCTTTCAAACATTCCTGCATGAAAATATACTTATGTGATCATCTCAACCAACTTGTGAAGTAGGCTGGAGGAGAGGTATTGTCACCTTCATTTCACAGATGAGTAATTGGAGGCATACAGGTACTCGAAGGTGAAAGAGCCAATAAATAACAAAGCTAGGGTTTGAACCCAGGTCATTGATTCCTGACCTTTTATCTCTATAGCTCCAGCATAGTTCATAGTCGTATATTCTTGTGTCAAGAATTTTTAAATGTTTGGAACTCAAAGAAAGGATTTAGTTAATGTGCCCTTTCTCTTCCATGCCATCTCTTTCCTTTCTCCTAGGTCGCATGTCTTCTGAGGTGGTATTTGGGTGGGCGGTTGGGATATTTGAAGTAGAGATGTATGAAAGGAATTGAAAGGTTATTGCTTCTTCGTGATGGAACAAAAGCTTAGTTTAGCTCCTTGGTTACAACAAGAATAACTCACACTTTCTTTAGGGAACTACTAAGAGTTTTAAACTAGAGAAAGTGCTGTATCTATTGTATAGGATTTGTCAAAAGCTGAAAAGCAAAGCAGTGCTTCTGCTGAGGTGTGAAAATAGCTTTTTTTTGGTCCTACAAAATGTTGCTTTATGTTAAGTGTTATTTATAATAGGATTTGTGCCTTCTTGTCTGACTACTGCAGGGCTGATTACTCTAGAGCTTGGAGAGAAAATTTGTCCGAGATGAGTTTTTGCTTGACTGTTGATTTTGTGGTCTGGGCAGGAGGAGCTCTGTGTTCAGAAGGAGACCATAAAGGAGTTTTTCACCAAAGGGCCAGGAGCAGTCTGTGACTTGACATCACTTTACTTCCAGGAAAGGTAAACCTGGGACAGCCCAGCAGGAAACAGGAGGCTGATGGCTTGCCATACGTAGTCTGAGTTGTGGATAACTGGGGCAGCGCTGCTGATGGCGGAGTATCTGCATGCACCTCCATCCCCTGAGAGGGGGACTCCTTCAGAGCTCTCAGGGCCATGCTGTGGAGGTAGTGTCTCCTAGCTGAGAAGCTGGTGCCTCCCCCTCCAGCCAACCACTAAAGACGGATTGGTCTGCCCTTCCAAGTTGCTTTCTTCTCTTGTTCTTTTCTAGCACCATGACCCGTTGCAGCCATCAGCAGTCCCCCTACCAGCTCCTATTTGGGGAACCCCACATCTTTGAAGATCTCTTGGGCTTGAAGATTCGCATTTCTCCAGATGCCTTTTTCCAGATTAACACTGCTGGTGCAGAGATGCTGTATCGAACAGTGGGGGAGCTGAGTGGAGTGAACTCTAACACCATCCTCCTTGACATCTGCTGTGGAACTGGCAAGTGACAGCCCAGGGCAGAATCTACATGCAGCTTATCTCCCCAGCGCCATCCCCTCAGCACCCACGACCCTTGCATGAAGCCAAGGTGGAGGGGTAGTGGTAATGATGTAGGCATAATCTCGTTGGCTTAATACCCTAAAATACCTTCCTCTTATTCTTTCTTACTTCCCCAGGTGTGATCGGCCTCTCTCTGGCTCCGTATACCTCCCAGGTCCTTGGGATTGAGTTAGTGGAGCAGGCGGTAGAGGATGCCAGGTGGACTGCAGCCTTCAATGGTACACTGCTTACATTCCGGGGAGAAGTTAAGAGGTGCAGTTGTTCCTGTGCTATGGAAAGGGTTGTAGGGGAAAGGGCGTTTGCCATATCCATGACTGTGAGAAGGAAAGGATGGTGTTCTGGAGTGGTCAGAGTTAGATCCTAATGGTTTTCTAAAAGAGGTCCCCATAGCTAATCTATCTTTTTTTCTATCCAGAAGAGCCCGAGGACAGGAACAAGCCTAGCTGATAGGAAGGGAACTTGACAAAACTAGATAAAATAGAAGAGCCTTCTTGACATTAGACTCATGAGGCGTCCTAACGTAACACAATAAATTTCAAACTATTTTTAGCAATAGGACCTTTTCTTCAAATAAAACCTTATGCCAAACTGCAGTATAGAGAACATATTTTCTTGTCCCTATGCCTCACCTCCAGACAACTCCTGAGGCTCTGTGCGAAAACCTCCAATATAGCAGAAAGAGCACTTATGTTAAAGTCAAGGCTCTTTTCTTAGTGTAGGTCCTTATGTGCTGTGTGAGTTGCTAAGTTGTAAAAGAACACGACTAGTCTATCAAACTGAAAGGCCTGGTGAGATGTTACAAGGGAAAGTGCGTTGGAAAAACTGAAGTAGGTGTAAAAGCATTTCTTTCATTGTTGTTCGGAAGTATGCTGGATCCAAAGGGAAGCTGGCAGAGCCCTCCCTGGTTCCTGTACATTTCTATAAAGCTAAAGCTCCCTGCCCCTCACTGCTGGGCTTTGTGGGGTTTTTTTTTGTTGTTGTTTTTGTTTGTTTAGGGGGCAGATAATTAGGTGTATTTATTTATTTATTTATTTATTTTAATGGAGGTACTGGGGGTTGAACTCAGGACCGTATGCATGTTAAGCACATGCTCTACCACTGAGCTCTACCCCCACCCCTTGGACTTATGTTTTTAGTTATATTATGTGGGCCTCTCTTTTGCAGGCATCACCAACTGTGAATTCCACACTGGTCGAGCAGAGAAGATTTTGCCACAGCTACTAAAGTCAAAGGAAGATGGGCAGTTAATTGTTGCTGTAGTGAACCCAGCCCGGGCGGGACTGCGTAAGGATGAATAGCTTTCCTGCTGCAGAACTAGTTAGGTGTTCCCATGATGTCCGCCAGCTTTAGTCTCTCATTTCTACACCATGCTAGGGGTGCTCCCAGTGGGCTGGCTCTGAACTGGCTTCCCTCTCTGTTCCTAACCAATCCTAGGTGCTGGTGTTGTGATCACAGTTCAGAGATTGTAATCACCTGGATCATGATAGTTTAATTATTATTAATAGCAATGTGTTTCTTCCTTCAGATTACCAGGTGGTTCAAGCTATTCGAAACTGCAGGGCCATCCGCACACTAGTTTTTGTTTCCTGCAAGCCCCAGGGTGAAACCGCAAGGAACATCATTGAGTGAGTCTTGACTTCTTTTTTAGATTATTTTTTTCCTGCTGATCGAAGTAATCCTTATTGTTATGCTTATTGTACAGAATTTGGAAAATGTTGAACAAAATGTTAAGTTTTTTTAAAAAGGTGAGATCCACTCCTGTACTTGCTAAACCCTGCCTCACTCACCTTACTCTAGTCCTTGCCCTAGTTCCAATAAAACTTTATTTATAAAAATGAGGCAGCCAGCCTGCAGGCTGTAGTTTTACAATTTGATTTTTCCAAAATACTGCATCAAAGTATTATTTGTTTTGATTACTGAGTTTTGGTCACCCTCTTAAATTTCACATCTGAGATGAGTGCCTTTTGCTTCACTCCACTCCTGGCCCTCGTCAATTATTTTGATTCTATTTTCTTCTTGTAATCAATCCCTCCCCCTTTGTAACATAAGTAACACAGTTTTTTGGTAATATTCAAACAACATAGGTGGGTATAAAGTATAGATGATATACCTGGGTGAAGCAAGTGAGAATTAAAAGGAAATGAGTTGAGCTTTCAAGTCAGTGAGCTAGAAAAAGAACAATCAAACTAAAGGAAACTGAAAGAAGAAATCAATAACATTTTTAAAATCCAGAAATTAGTGAACTACAAAAGAACCTGTAAACCAGAAGGTGTTACTGAGAGAAAAAAAAATAGAGAAATAAAACTAATCAAGAATAAAAAATCTTAGATGAGAAAAAGAGCATACCTACGTATGTTAAGAAATTTTTTAAAAATACGAGAAAGTACTTTGTATAACTCCCTCCCAATACATTTGAAAACCTAGATGAAATGGGAGATTTTCTGGGAAAATGCAAATGGCTAATATTAATTCTGGAACCTACAGTAAACCTAAACATACCAGTACCCATGGGGAAAAAACTGAGAAAGTTGTCAAAGAGCTGCTTCTACCCAGGATAAAAGCATGGGGCCCATATGTTTTCACACTCTTATTTCCTTGTCTTTTCTTGCACACTTTGCCAGTTGTGCTTTACCTTTATTTTCATTGTACAGTTTAAAAATGTTTTTGAATCTATGATGAAGATGGCACTGCCAATCGGTGGGAAACAAACTATTCAATAGTGGTGAACAACTGGGTAACCAAGGTGAAAAATAAAAAACTTGGATCCATATCTCATGCTGCAGACCAGAGTAAATTACAGAAGAGTTAGAGATTTAAGTGTAAAAAGGGGAAATCATAAATGTACCCTAGGAAATCAGAGAATTTCTTGGAGTTCAGAAGCCTTTTCTAACTATGAAAATTCGGAAGCCATATAATAGAAAGTTATTAAATTTGGCTACTTAAAAAATAACTTCCTTTGTTATACCATACAGAGAATTGAATTCACAATGGATCATAGAACTAAATGTAAGAGCTTGAAACATAGAAGTAAATTTTTGTGACCTTGGGCAAGGCAAAAGCCCTCTTAGATGGAACATCAAAGAACCAAGCAACAACAGCAACAAAATATGTGTGTGTGTCTGTGTGTAATTGGACATCATCAAAGTTAATAAAACTTGTTGTGCTGCAACTAATACCGTCAGGAAAGTGTAGAGAGAGCCCAAAGAATGGGAGAAAATATTTGCAAATCATTTACTTGATAATGGACTGGTATCCAGAAGCCAGACACAAAAGGCCACATATTATATGATTCCATTTATAGGAAATGTCCAGACTAGGCAAATTGTTAGAGACAGAAAGTAGATTTGTGGTTGCCTAGAACTAAGAGTGGGGATTTTAGGGAGAAATGGGGAGTGACTACTAAGAAGTTAGTGAACATATTCTAAAATTGACTGTTGTGATAGAGGCACAACTCTGTGAATATACTAAAAGCCACTGAACTGTGTAATTGGGTGAGCTATGTGAAATTGAATTATATCACAATAAAACGTTTAAAAAATCAAGACCTTGCATGACAAAAAGCACCAAAAGCAAAGACAGGAGACAACATACAAACTGGTAAAAAAATTTGCAGTTCATATCGCGGACAAAGACTTTTTCTTTTAATTTATAATGAACTCCTGGAAATCAGTAAGAAAAAGAACAACAATCCAAAAGAAAAATGAACAGAAGGTCTAAAAAGAAAATATAAATGTGTTTAGGAACCATGAAAGGATGCTTGGTCTCTTCCATTTTAGTGGAAATGCAAATTAAAAGTACCCTGAGATACCACTTGTTATATCTCAGATTGGCACAAGTTAAAAAGTTTGATAATGTACTATTGGCAATACTGTTAGGAACCATGAATTTTTAAAAAAATGCTGATCAGAGTGTAAATTGGTACTATCTCTATGGAGGGAAATTTAGCAACATAGATTAAGACTTAAATGTATATATACCCTTTGACCCAGTAATTCCATTCCTAAGGCTTGATCCTACAGATATACTGACACACATGTAAAATGACGTGTGTGTGTGTATATATATGTATATAAAAGTATTATTGCAGTGTAACAACAGATGATGAAATATAAAAGACCATCAGTGGGGAACTAGTTAAATATGCTACATCTGTACAATGGAATACCATGCTGCTATAAAAAAGAATAAAGATGTTCTCTGTGTACTGATATGGAAAGATCTCGAAAGTATATTATTTTTTGATAACTTTATTGAGTTATAATTCACATGTCATAAAATCCATCCTTAATTAAAACATATAATTCAAAAGGTTTTTGGTATGTTTTCAAATTCACGCAGCCATCACTACCATTTAACTGTGAACATTTTTATCACTCCAAAAAGAAATCCTGCACCTCTCACCAGTCATTCCTCATTTTCCCCCAACCCTCTGGCTCTAGGCAACCACTAATCTTTCTGCCTCTAACGATTTTCCTGTTCTGCACATTTCATACAAATACAGTCGTGATATGTGGTTCTTTGCATCTGGCTTCTTTCAGTTAGCATGATGTTTGCAGGGTTCATCTATGTTGTAGCATGTATCAGTACTCCACCCCTTTTTAATGGCTGAATAATATTCCATTGTATGGATATACAATATTTTATTTATCCATTCATCAGTTGATGGACATTTGGGTGGTTTCTACCTTTTGGCTCTTATGAGTAATGTTGCTAGGAACATTTGTGTGCACGTTTTTGTGGTGACATATATTTTCATTTCTCTTGGGTAGATACCTAGTAGTGGAATTTCTGGGTCAAATGGTAACTATTTTATCCTTGTGAGGAACTGCCAGATTATTTCCAAAACGGCTGCCACATTTTACATTCCCACCAGCAATGTATGAGGGTTCCAATTTCTCTATGTCCTTGTCAACTCTTATTATCATCTGTCTTTTTTATTACATCCGGACGGGTAAGAAGTGGTATCTCCTTGTGGTTTTGATTGCATTTTCTACATGGCTAATGACATTGAACATTTTTTCACATGCTTATTTGCCATTTATATATTTTCTTTGGAGATATGTCTGTTTACATCTTTTAACCATTTTTTAGATGGGTCGTCTTTTTATTACTGAGTTTTAAGAGTTCTTTTAAAATTCTTGATACAAGTTCCTTATCAGATACATATTTGCAAAAATTTTCTCCCATTCTGTGGGTTGTCTGTTCATTTTCTTGACAGTATCCTTTGAAGCACAAGAGTATTTAATTTTATACTTGATCTTAGCCAAAAGGCCGAGAAGTGATAGGAGTATTTAATTTTGAAGCTGTCCAGTCTGTTTTTTCCTTTGTGATTTGTGATTTTTGGTTCTAGGGTCTGTTACTAAGTGGGAATAGCAATGTATGCAGAATTGTTTATATATTAAACTATCTTTGTAAAAAGGACAAAGGATAAAGAGAAGAATATATGCTTGTGTTTGCTGTATATGGGTAGAGAAACTGGTACATTTTATAAGAAACTGATAATAGTAGTTGTCGATGGTGGGAGAAAATCGCAAGGATGGGAGTCATAGGTGAGGAGGGAACTTCACTGTATATTTTATGTTGTTTCACTTTTGAATAAAATGAAAATATTTATTTTGCAAATAATAGATTAAAAAATGCAATGATTAAGAGTAAACATTGGATTCTGCTAATACGGAGTAAAACAAACATGGCCTCAAAAAGGCAAGAAAAATGTATTTTAAAAAGGCAGTATGTGCATATGTGGAAAAAAAAGCAAAAATACAAAAGAGTATGCAGTGAATAATAGGTCTTTTTCTTGCCTGGCCTTCAGATGTCCTTCAGCTAGTCCTTCAGCTAAGATGGCCTTAATCCTTCAGATGTCACCACTCTTACCAGTTTTTTTGTGTAGCCTACCAGAGATACTCTCTGTCTCTGTCTCTGTCTTTCTAACAAATAGAAACAAACTGTAAACACTATTCTGCACCATGCTTGTCACTTAATAATAGATTTTGGAGATTGTTCTACAATGATTGAGAATCTGCATCAATACTTATAGGTCTACTTGAGTTTTAAAAGGAGCCATTTAGTTTTAACTTACATAAATGTGTCATTTAACTTGTCCCTTGCTAATGAATTTTAAGGTTGTTTCTACTCTATTGTTACCACAATGTTGCAGTGATTATTCTTGTACATATAGCTTTGCACATTTGTGTAATGTGTATGTACATATGATGAATAAGTGTATGTGATAGTCTATATATTAGATAAATCCCTGATGTGGAATTGCTGGGTTAAAGAATATATGCTCTTCATTTTCATGTATTTTCTAACAGAGCTTTAGAATCAACTTCTCAGAAATATTCTTTGGGGCTTATGATTGGAAGTACACTGAAATTATTAAGTCATTTAAGGAGAATTGAAATCTTTATATTATTTTTTCTGTTCAGGTATGTGACCTGTCTCTTCAGTTACTCTAGGCTTCTGTAATTCTCCAAAAATACATACATGTATTTTTCCCAATATAGATCTTTTTTCTTAAGATTAATACAAGATATTGTAAAGTTTTTATTGCTGTTATGAATGGGACCTTTTTCATGACATTTTCTAATTGGTTATTGCCGATTTTATGTCCAGCTACCTTAGTCTTTTATTTGTTCTATTTGTTTTCCAGTTGATTCTCTTGCATTTTCTTGGTAGCTGGTCATATGATCACCATATAAAAAGTTTTGTCTCTCTCCTTCCAATACTTTTTTTCCTTACTACATTGAATAAGAAAATGTTCCAGTGTAGGAGTGATAGTGCATGTCTTGTCTTGTTCCTGATTTTCATGGGACAGTGCTGTTGATATGACTGAGTGTTAGCCAGGCAAACAAGAACTCTTCGGCTTTGTTGGTTTGAGTGTAAATTAGTACAATCTTTTTTTTTTTTTTTATTAACAACAGTTTAGCGGTATATACCTTAAGGCCTTAAAAACATACAGGTCCTTCAATTCAGCAGTTCCACTAAATAACTGAACATGTATGCAAGGATAAAGCTATAAGAATATGAAGGGGCTTTATGAAATAGCGAAAAGTTAGAAACAGCTTACATTTCCAAGCTGTTACATTTATTTAATGAAATACCATAGAGCCAATAAAAGTGAGGTAGCTTTACATATAATATAGTGGAGAGATGCTCATGATGGATTATTAACTGAAGAAACTATTGTAAAGCAGTATATATAATATATACAGTGTGACTCCACTTGAAGAAACCGATTTAAACATACATATATGGAAAGATACATCCTGAAAAGTGAGCAGTGGTTATCCTCTGAATGGTGAATTTATAGGTGGATTTTTGTTCTCATTTTTACTTGACTGCCTTTGGTTTCTTTTTTAAAAACACCTTTATTGTGATAAGATTCCTATATAGTAAACTAGACATACTTAAGATGTACAATTTGATGAATTTTGATAGATGTATTTGACTGCCTTTAAAATTAGGGGAAAAGTAATTTGCTTTGAGAATTTTCAATAGAACACTTTAATTCAGTAATATATTTTAATTACCTGTTGTGTGCAAATCATACAGAAAAATATATGGTTCAGGCCCCTCACTCCTTTCACCATTGAACCCCTTACTCCACACACTGGGAACACAGAGATGAATAATAAGTAGTTTTTGCCTTAATTCTACCCTGAAAAAGATTATATACTCTAGTGAGTATATAGGTGGTTACCTTACATATAGTGATAGTAACCAGGTGGTTACATTACATATAGTGAATGCCAGGAGGATTGCCAAGATGGCAGAGTAGAAGGACGTGGTACCCACCCTCTCCCAAGAATACAACAAAAACTGCATCTGTATGTGGAACAATTTGTACAAAATACCTACTGAACTTCGGTAGAATACCTCTTACTATCAGAATTATGAGGAAAATCCTTACAAAACCGGATAAACAACAAATTTCTACTGTGTAGCTCAGGGAACTATATTTAATATTTTGTAGTAACTTATAATAAAAAAGAATATGAAAAGAAGTATATGTACATGTATGACTGAAAAATGCTGTACTCCAGAGATTGATGCAACGTTGTAAACTGACAATAAAAAAGTGACACTTAAAAAATATGATAAATGCTATTCTAGTGAGAAACACAGAGGGCTGTGGGAACAGAGGAAGGGCTTCAGTTCTAAGAAACTCTGTTCCTGTAGTTTCTTCTTGGTTTGTGGAACTGATAATTATGGTCTGTTTCTACAGGCTGTGCTGTCCTCCAAACTCTGCGAAGAAGCTCCTTGGGGAGCCTTTCGTCCTGAGACAAGCTGTGCCCGTGGATCTGTTCCCCCACACCCCGCACTGCGAGCTGGTGCTCCTCTTCACCCGATAGATAAGCAGCCTCCTACAAGCTTGCAAGCTCTTTCTTAAGGCTGAAGTGTCGGTGACTTCCAGGTTTGGCATATTGCTACATTACAGACCCTGAGAGCATTGCTGGGGAAACCAATCTTTGGCTCGTGAGCAGGAAGAATCTAGTGGGCCTCTGGTCTGAGGCAGATTTATAACCTTAGCTCTCAGGTTCACTGGCTGTCGTGCGAGTTTGCTAGGTTGTGACCACTCGCTGGCCCTGGATCTGGACTGTTCCTTCCTTTTGCCGTCAGCCGGCCGTGGTTCCCTGGGTCCTTGTCTATAGTCTTGTCTCTGGCTCTGCCTGAGGTGGTAGGGTGGTCACCGTGGTAGGGTGACCAGTGAGCTTTTCTCTGAAGCTGGTCATCATTTCGTATTGACTCGGGTCTCTGTATTTGCCCAGAGATTTTACTAGTTGTGATCTGCATTCATGAGGTAGCCAAGGATTAGAACTGGAAACAAGTCTAGCTTTTTTTAAAAAGCAGAGTAAGCTATGACGTGACTGCAGAGCGACTGCGTGATCTCGTTAGGGCTTCATTCCTTTGGGTTTTCTAGGCTTTGAGGCTTCTAGAACAGTCTTTAAAAATGTGGTTACCCCTGGGAGCAATAGCACCAATTAGCTCTCACCTGTGGAGGGAGAGTTGGATGTAGTGGAGACCCTATAAGAAAGGGGAACTTCAAAGCAGACACTGAATCCCTATAATTGTGTTGTGTAGTGTAGAGACAGAAAGCTCTAGAATCCCCTAATGATCCAGTATGTGCTATAATAAACTGGATATTGAAATTAATATTCTCTAGTCATGATTTCTTTAACTCTGGAGTTATTCTTGGATACTTGCCCAGCAATTTAGATTATGTTTTGAATCTTAACAGCCTAAGGACGTGTAACTTAGCAAACACCGTCTGATTTACAAAATGATACAAGATCAACTAGAGTTTTCAATTCTTCTCAATCCTAAATACCTCTTGAGAAGCCTTTCTCAGAAAAATATGGCTCTTAAGACTACTTATATAGATATCCATTTAAAAAATACTAGAAAGAAGTAATCTAAAATGACAAAAATTATTAATGGTAGTCAGATTGACAAGTTTTATTTCCATTTCCCTATTTTTCATTTTATATAAATATTGTTATGTATTATTTATTTCCATTTTTCTAATTTTCATTTTATGTAAATAATATTATTTCTATAACTTAAACAATTTTAATGTAAAGCAACCAGAGTGGGTTTTCAAAAATGCCAAGCTCACTGTGTTTCTTCAGTGCTTGAAATCTGTCATTGGCTTATTACTGCTTTTAAAATAAACTCCCAAATGATTCATTAGCCTCAAAGCCCCTTCATAATCTAGGCAGCCTCATTTTTCTATACATCTTGAGTTCCTTTCCCTGAAAAATACAAATTTCTTCTGTCCTGCTCCTTTCCACATTCTATTTCCTCAGTTTGGAATGCGCTTTTTCCTTCTGGCTAGCTCATCTTTCTATTTTTAACTTAGCTATTTCCACAAGGAATATCTAATGAATAAATACAGGATTAGCTGTAGATAATCAACTTCTGTTAGTGTTGTATCTTGTAAGTAAGATGATTTTAGAATCATGGTTTTGTCATTTTTATAATAAAAACTTTTAAACTTAGAAGAAAGTCGAAAGAGTAGTACAATGAACATCAGTGTAACACAGAGATTCAACAAATGTTAACATTTTGCCATATTTGCTTTATCTATGTGTGTATCTGTTCTTCGATAAACCATTTTAAAGTCAGTTGTAGACACCATGACACTTCACCTTTAAATATCTCAGCAACACTGTCTAAGTATAAGGACATTTTTCTACCTATTATACCATAAGCCCAGTTAAAAATAATGACCAGTCCATCACTGATCTTTACTAACATTATCTAATATCTAGTCCAGTGCTTCCTCGTGTGATTTGCAGACTGCTTGATGGTTCACAGAGATAAGGAGCTTGCACCAGAGAGTGTATCAGTGTGCCACATCCTTCATTGAGAAAATCTTGTTACCAAAAATATGTCAGCCGCATTAAATAGTGTGCTCAGTGACGTGGTTCATTTATATCTGTGGGCTGGCTGAGTAGCACTGCTCTATATTCAGATTTCCCCAGCGGTCCCCTGAATGTCTTTTATGGCCAGTTCACATGTTGCATTTTAGTCTTTTTAGTCTCTTTTAATCTAGAACAGTCTCCCCACCCTTTGTTAACGGCACTGGGGCCACTTAGGAATCTGACTGTAGTGTGCCCAACAGTACTGGTTTGCCTGGGACTCTCCTGGTTTAACACTGATCCAGCTCTCTGTGTTTTATTTAATTTGCCCTCCAGGTGATTCTGATGCATGTTCAAGTTTGAGAACCACTGGTTTAGAGCAACAGTTCTCAGCCTTGGTTGTGTCAACTAAAATTAAAAACGCACAGTGCGAGAGCTATGAGTTTCAGTTTTATTTGGGGACTTACGGACACAGCCTCTCAGAGAGCTCTGATGAAGAGGTAGCTTGGGAGGTTAGCATGGATGTGATTTTGGAGAAGGGATACATGCAGTCCAGCACACAGCTCAGTAGAAGGTTCCTGCTAGTCACAAGAAGGTTGGTGCTAGTAACAAGGAACAGATGATTATCTGTTAATGATTTTAGTGCTTTTCTAAGTGTGAGAAGATGCGAGAATCTTGGTTCATAAAAATTTCTCTGAAGATAATCTGAGGGCCTGTTCTGCCTGTTTTCCCAGAGCAGAGAGTGCCTCATTCCTGGATTCCTTACAGGGTGGACTCTAGGTAGAACTGGATGGTGGGCAACATTCTTTGTTTTATAGTTGCAACATTAGAATCACCTGGGGACCTTTTAAAATGGAGATTCCTGGGTGAGTTACTCAGAGATTGAGCTCACTCACTTTGGGTGCAGCCCTAGCATCATTATTTTAAAACCTCCCCAGATGGCTCTCATGTGTAGGTAAGGATGAGAAACACGATCTAGGTTGCTTTGTTTTTTTCTCCAAGCCCGGTGTTTGGCTTGATGAATAAAAATGCACATCAAGTTGCACATAAAAACTAACTAGTTGGGTAGTATGTGGGCCAAATAGCTCGCTTGTCTGCTTCCTTCTTGTCTGAGCACTGGTTTGCAGTCCTTTGCAAAGGTTTTCATCCCTTTAAAGCATTCTCTTTCCCATTCGTTGTGCAGTTGTTTTGCTGTGTGTGGTAGAGAGTGGGGCTTAGATGCCATCAGTTACTAGTGATGCTAGATAAGCCTTAAAATTCACCCTCGTACGGCAAGAGAAAAGGGGGTTCATTTTAATATTAAAGTAGGAAGATTGTTTTAAGGGTTTATCCTCAGCCTGCTTCCTACCTGGCTCCTAGAGCTGGCTGCTTCTCATTAGGCTTACCTTAGAGTTGCTGCAGCTCTGGGTGCAAATTTTGGCATGCACCTTTATTGTAGGTGTGGAGTTGCAGCTACTGCTATGCTTCCCAGTCTTGGCTGCACATCGGACTCCTTTGAGAGCTTTTCAAAAAATCCTGGTTCCTGGGACTTGGGTGCTACCTCCAGATATCCTAATTTATTTGTTCCAGGGTGTGGCTCCAGCATCTGGATTTTTAAAAGATTCCCCCAAGGTGATCTTAATGTGCAGCCAGGGTTATGATCCTCTGATTAGGGCATTACGGCTGTGGTTCCCAAACTTGTCTGCACATTAAAATCCCCTGGGGATCTTTTAAAATGTCCAAAATCCAGGCCACACCCCTGAACAGTTAAATCATCACAATTGCTGAGGGGTGGACACAGGCTTTGGTAATTTTGAAGTTTCCCCAGTGATTTCCTTGTGCAGCTGGCATTGAATACCACAAGGTTAGGGTATTTGACTGTTTGGAGGTTGGGAGGGAGAAGAGAGTGATTGTCATTTGCTGAGATTTAAGTCTTCCAGCCCTTCACTTTCAAAATCATGTTGCCAGTTTATAATTTACAGGGTCATCATTGTCATTTTTCTAAGAAACATGTCTCGAAATGGCGTGTCCATGAAGTACAGTCATTAATCAGTTGAAGCTCCCTTAGAGCTCACCAATTAATGCAAGTGCAAAAGTTGATGTTTAGCACACAGGAGGTCCTGGGTTCAATCCCCAGTACCTCCATTAAAAAAATAAATAAATAAATAAACATTAAAAAAGGACAGTTGAAATGGAGTATAATTATTATGTCTCAGACTTAACAATTTTCCATCAGCTGGTTTGATTCCATCATTATATGTATCTGCACATTATATTTCCTATTGTTTCTCCTCAAAGGAGACAGTGGGGTGGCAATGCCAACATCTAGCCTAGAGCCACAAAATGGAGGAACATGTCAGTATCCTCAAGTCCATTCCTAACTGTTAGGGATCCTCAGGGTACAGGGAGGGGAGAGGACTTTCCCCTGAGGACCTGAAAAAGGAATTTAAATATATAAAGGTGTGGGGATTCACTGCTTGCATTTGCTGATCACCTTTATTTGTAACCAATGCAAGGAGTACCTGAGAAGAGAGGGCTGTTACTTAGCTGTTTAATGGTCTCTCGCCTCCAACTAGACTGTAAGGTTTGAGGGAATAAGGGCCATTCACTCTTGTATCTCTGTCTCACACCCCAGCCCAGTGTCTGAATGTGGCAGGTGGCAGAGAGGCAATAAGCATGGTGGCCAAGAGGACCGGCTTTGGAATCAGGCTGACCTAGCCTTGAACCTGGCTCCATCACTTACATGCTGTGTGACCTTGGGCGAGTTACTTAACCTCTTCAATCCTCTCTTCCCTGCCCCTCTCCCTGTAAAAGAAAGGTAATAACAATACTTACTTCGCAGCATTCTTGTGCCCCATTCAGCGAAACAGTGTATGTAAAGCACTTTCCAAATTGCCCAGCACACAGTTGGCATGGATTAAGTGAGAGTTATTCTTAATAATCTCATTATTTGTTGAAGCGAGAAATGGATGTCATAGCCTGCTTCCCTTCCCTCTCTTGAGATTAATGAGCCAAAATAACCTAATCAGTTTGGTTTCTGTAAGATTTCAATACTTAAATTTCAGGCAAACAAAACCAAATGCACATTGGAAAGAGTCCCTTTGCTATTGGTGTGGGTGTTTCTCAGCATTTATGTTATAGTCAAATATTACAGCTTCTGGTACAAAGTTTCAATACAGTTTGAAGAAAAATGAAGCATAGGAAACAGATAAGGCCATCCCTCTCGTTTTTGTCACCCTTATAATATTGGTTGCTAAAATAACTCACTTGTCAAATCCCTTTGTACTACTGTGAGAAGTAGTGATGTAAGACATGATTTCTGAAAATAACTGTGATGAGGTGTCGTGAATTAAGGGCTTTGGTACAGAAGTGATAGAGGTCCCCTTTGGGTACAACAGCTCAGGATCATAAATTGCCCAGACATTTACTTACCTATTCCACCTTCTAAAAGGAAACTTATTTCTAGGGGTGTTTTTTTTTTTAAACTAACCATGCTATAAATACTGCATGGGATCCTGAACTGGCTCCTGAACAGAAAAAGGACATTAGTGGAAAAACTGATGAAAATCTGAACAAAGTCTATAGTGTAGTAAATAGTATTGTGCTAATGTTAATAGCATGGTTTTGATCAAAGTTCCGTAGTTATGTGAGGTCTTAACATTAGGGAAAGCTGAGTGAAGGGTATATGGGAACCCTCTGCACAGTATTTACAACTCTTTTGCAAATCTAAAATTATTTTAAAGATACAAAGTTAAAAAAACCTACACATAATCTTTTAAAAACTAAACATACTGATTGAAAGCTAATTCTAGAAAAACCAAGTCTGGGCAAGGGTTGAGGCCAGGGCCCCAGGAGATAACACAGATAATATGCTGGATGTTTGGCTGACTGTAAGTACTACATGTGACAAGGTGACAAAGGGTGGGGAGGAGAGCATTGAGCAAATTCTTTTACAATAAGGAATTTCTGGCAGCCTGTCAAAAAACAGTTCCTTTCTCTCCATATAAGCTAGCCAACTTCAAAACACAGCAGCTTAACTTAAGAGAGGTCCAAATACACATTTTCTTAAACTCTCATCTTAGAGTCTGGTTGGCCAGGTGTTTGGAAGGAATTTCTCATTGTGCTAAATTCTGTTATTTTCTCATAGTGCTAATTTCTCATAGCGCTAAACCTGAAATGTTCATCTGTGCACTGATTCTGAGAAAGGAAATGGTAAGAGGAAGGATCCAGTCATTTTAAAGCAACAGCCCCCTTAGCATTCAGTTCTTCATTATTGCCTGAATCAGATGATCTACAGAGTTAACTCCTGTGTCAGTTAAAAGTCAGGTGCCTCAGTAACCTAGTGTGACCAGCACAGCGATTTTAAAAAGTGTATCATTACAGAAGGTGTCAGCGGAGGGAGAGTGGAAACTCCAACTCTGGTGCTCCTCATTCTCTTCACTCTTTAGGGATGAGCTCTTCTCTGTACATTTTCCATAGTTCTGATCAGCATGTGTACCTGTTCCCTATTTTGCTGTTTTTTTTTCGTGACATTATTTCACATTCTGGTTCCCACCTACACAGTGCACATAATTGTCACCTTTAATGGCTAATGAAACATTCCATTGTATCACATAGCAGGATGGTTCTTAGGGCTGGGCTCATTTTTCTGAGCAGATATAAAAGGCCTGCTGTCTCTTAGCACCAGAGGTCTATTTTAGTTCCTGGAAGTGGCGACTAGCCTGAGTGTGGGATTGCGTGGGATTCTTGAGTCATCAGCGCACAGCACAGTTTGAGCGCTTTGTTAACATCGCTCTGCCCACCACCCGGCAGCAGGGCCTCCTGGGCTCCCTGGACCTGAGCCAGGCACTTCATGGGCGCAGGATTGGAAGTGCAAGACCCTGACTCCCACAACCCTCGGCTGAAACTATCTCCTTGCCAACAGCAGGAAGTTCCTGCTGCTTTCTCTCTCGCCTGGGATAACAACTCCACCTGCGTTTCCCACAGGGCTTGATATGAGAGAAAATGCAAGGGGAGTGGGAAGATAGATTATTATAGCTAAAGGAATAAGGCAGAGGTCGGGGTGACATGGCAACAGTTCTTTTAGGTGCACCTATGAAAATGAAGTGGGATGGGGGTATGGTTTCAAGTCCTGTTCTCTACCCCACTTCCTGTTAGAAATCCTAGTTTCGGCCATCCAATGAAGGGTTTACAGGAGTGAGTGACAAAGCAGTGAGTCCAGGCTTGCCCCCTACCCCACCCATAGCCAGTGGTGTTTTATGGTTAAGAATGCTACTTGGCAGAATTCTGAGTGGTGGTGTTTTCGGTGTATTTGGTTAAGTCTTGCAAGTTGCAACTGCCTGGAAAGCAAGTAATTTTAATAGGTTACTGGGAAGGAGAAGTGATATTCAAAACACAACTGGGATGGCCCAAGCAACACACATTTAAATCTCAGGGCGTTTGTAGCTGGGTTAGTTACTCTTGGTTTCCATGCTCCAGCCCTAAATTATCACAGTTCTTCCTTAATCCTTACTCTGTAGTGACTCTATGACCCATGTTCTGCAGGTCATACTGGATACCAACCCTGCAGAATGGGCACTGCAGGGTGGGTAGAAACAATATATGAACAGCGGAGATCAGCTTTCAAGAGTAAAAACCATTTGGAGCAGAGGGACCCCTCTACGTATGCATATTGAATTCTCTAGTCAGAAAGCCCAGGCCTGTCTTGCAAGACAAAATGGACAAGAACCCAGACCACATGGGGCTTGTTGAATGATGGTCCAGGGTCACATATTCGAAGTGCCTCTGACAGGAGCTAGACTTTAAAAGTCCTGGCAGAGGAGGCCAGGACCTTGACAAGGAAAGGAGAGAAACTCCAAGGCAACCACTTGCCTGAAAGAAAATTTGCCCTCGAGGCTCAAGAAACTCTCATTAATCTTGGTCTCTGTGCTGCCATGCTGAGATAGATTTGTAAGACCTTTTTGGCAGATTTAGGATTCTCAAAGACAAGGATGTGAGAAGCAGTGGTTGGCAGTGGTTATAGTTACCATAGATTCTCAATGTTCTTTGGACCATAGACTCTAAGACATCTCTCCTTGGGTTGTTCTTTACAGAAAAGAGGATACTTCTCCCAGAAGCGGGGTATAGCTGTCTAATGATTTAAGATCCTCCCCTAATCGTAATAATAGCAGCTGGCATTTCAGGAGCTACTTATTATGTGCTGGGCACTATGCTAAGCATTTGGATCTGGATTGTCCCCTTCGATCCTCACAGCAAGCCTGTGAGATAGGTTCTCGTATTCCTGCCTCCACTGGGGGAAACTGGCCAGTCACCCAGCCTGATAAGGGGTTGGAAAGTACGGTAACAGCTGGCAGCAACAAAACTACTCACTCCAAATAAATAAGAGCGTGCTGGCTGTGTTTGGAGGATATTCTTTAAATAACTTTTAGAGATTGATGGATTCTATGTAGGAAAATTTGGTTGACACCCAGGAGCACAGGAACAATACTGTAGAAAGGGAATTGTGCCCATATTCTGAATTTCAGTTTTGTCAGAGGTTGTTTCAACCTAAATTGTCCACCCTGTCCATAGTCATAGGTAGCACTCCCAGCCCCTTTTAGCCACATGCCCTCCTCCCCCTTGGCAGAGAAAGTGTGCCTGCCTTGTAGACATACATGCCATAAAGAGAAATGTGGAAGATTCTGTTTTCTGAAGAACCTTGGTTTGTTGAATCATGGTCTCCTGCCTGATAAAACTCTGCATCAGTACAGATACTTGCTGCACCCCAGAGAGTAACTGTCAGCAGAATTGTCCAGTGATATTTTTTGGGCAAATTGGAGGAGGTGGGTGAAGAGTGGCCAGAGAAGACCCAGGGAGGACATAGTACATCGAGGCGCTGGCTCGGGTACTCAGGAGATCTGGATCTTAGGAGCATGTCTGTCAGTGATCAGCTGTATAGTCTTGGGCAAGTCACTTAACCTCTCTGTACCCCAAACTCCTCATCTGTTTTAACAACTGGGGTTGGACTGGAGGTTCTGTAAGTTTCCTTCCGGCTCCATCACTAATAAGCTGAGCCTCAGTCAGAATCCTGTCAAAGTCCCACAAGGTTCTTGGGGTGGTCCCCTTGGGCATAAGGCCACAGGCCAGGTAGAATAGTCAATGCTGCAGCCTTAGACAGTGTTGGGTCCTCCAGATGGGGCTGTGAGACTGAGCTTTCTGGGCCAGGTTTCTATTTCTCAGAAACAATTGGAGGCTAGTTGGTTTATACTGCCTGGTGAGACCATATAGTGTAGGAATTAAGAGCTTGAGTTATGGAGCTGGACCTTAGTTTGAACACCAGTTCTGCCATTTCCAAGTGGGTGCCCTGGGACAAGTGATTTGACCTCTCTGAACATCAGTGTCTCCCTCTGTAAGATGATAATAGAGCCGACCTCAGAACTTGTGAAGATGAAAGGCAATAATGTATGTAAGACACTTAGCCCAGCACCTGGTACAGTGGAAGTGCTCACTCAGCTGTCCGCTAAGACTACTGGTGTGCTTTCTGCTAACAACATAATTCTGACCTGGGCACAGCTAAGCTTCAGCATCTCTCCTGGGTGTAGCTTTCTCTTTCTGGATGGAGTCTGAGAAAAGCCTAAGCAGATCTTTCTGGCCTGAAGTAGCCCCAGAGTGAGATCTGGATACAGGCTCCTGCTCTGCTTCTTACAGGCTGTGGGACTTTGGATAAGTTATTTAATGTCTCTGCCCCTTAGTTTCCTCATCTGTAACTCGCAGGCACGGATACTGCCTACTCCCAAGGGTTGTTGTGAATAAGATAATGAATGGGAAGGGCTTAGTGCTGCACCTGATGTCCAGAAGGCACTCAGTAAATGGGGGCTGTGCTGCTGATGGTGAAAGTAATAGTCGTAATAATAGCGAATCATAACTACCACCACTACCACTGCCCTTCTTGGGATGGAGAGTTGAATGGGTTTAAGTTCATACAGGTTTTGCATACCTAACCCAAATGTTAGGACAGACAGCAATTGTTATTCCTTGAAGGGCCAGCAAAAGAATCGTTGCCAGGCTTCACAGACAGTGGCTGGGAATTTAAAACTGAGTTGTTTTTGGAGGCTGACTGAAAATGATTCAACAGAGCCTAATTCTCAGCAGAAAAATTGTTTGTTTATGCCAGTCCCCTTATACCCAATAACCATAGAGGGGAAGATGTAATTCTAAACTGACTGTGTACATCTAAACCTCAGTTTCAGTTGGTCACCCATGACATGTTCACAAACTTCATCAGGAGCATCTGGGTACAGAAATGTCAAGGCTCTGATCTTCTTTGCCAACGTTGTTTTCATTCTCAAATGGATGCTCCCCTGCTGTTCCTGAGCCTCTCCGTGGGGATAAGATTCATTTGATGGCTAGAATGTCGATGGACAAGAACAATAGGGGTTCTTAGGAATATTATGTTAGATTAGGTGGAGTTTTAGGGGGGACTGTAGAGGTATTAGCAAACAGAAACTGAAAAGCTAAGTAATCCTGATGGTTCTCTAAATAAACCCATTCACTGAAGGAGGGATATATTTCTTTTGACTTCCCTCCATTTGTCTCTTCAGTGCTCTGTTAAAAGTCTAAAAAGAGAAAGAAAACAGCCAGTCACTGCAAGTGAAGCTAAGTACTAGGCTTCCTGTCCTTCCCACACCACATCCGGGGGAGGAGGGTGTTCACTACTTCCCTAGGGGGTGTAGATTGCACCCCACTAGCTACACACCCTCTGCCCTGACCTCATACTTTCTCTCCCTTTTGCTCTCTCCCCTCTCCCCTTCCCGTGAGGAATACTAACCACAGGATCCAAAGGCTTCTTCACAGGGATTGTCCACTAATATCTCCTCTGGGTCCCAGGTGTCCATTCTCTTTTTTGCCCTTGGTTCTGAGGTTATAGAAATAAAAAATGGATTTCAATTTTGGACAGAGATTTTAGGGGTATTTTCTGACCTCTAGTAAAACACTTCCTCTGTTCTACCAGATTCCTTCCACTCAACTCTAATCCTCACCCCTCAATCTCAGAGCAGTGCCTCTCTCTTCCTCAGCAGCCCTGGCCAAGTTCAGGCCCCTCTGGTATGGGTGTGACAGCCTAAGGTTCTGGGGTAGTGTGAAGGGCCAGATCCCTTGAAGAGCAGAGGTGAAATTATAATATGGGCAGTTTACCATCATGGAGACTGGGGCCAAGGAACACTGAGATGGCATAAGCTATTAACAACAATGGGCCTGTAAGTCCTCACAGCTTTTTTTCAGTGCCTTTAGTGTACTGGGAGAATCATATATGATTATTAAAAAGTTCCAATAAAAGCAAAACCCACAAAAAGGTACCTTGATCCTTTACTTCTCAAAATCACCTAGAATCTTAGCCCTAGAGAAAACCACTGTTCATGTTTGATTTCCCTCCAGATATTCTGCACATGTATACACATCATGCTGTACATGATGTCCTCTGACTTGCCATTTTCTCTAACAAAACGTCAGGTCTTGGAAAACTTTACAGGCCAGTAAATGTAAGACAGCATTAGCCCTCTTAATGTCTGCATTGCATTCCATATGTGTGGGTGGCACCATAATCTATTTAGCCGTTCACCACTGTTAGACATTTAGCTTGTTTCCAACTTTCGGCTGTTGTAAACAATACCATGATTGAACAACCATGAGCACCCTTTTTTGGGTACTTGTAGAATTATTTTTGGCTATAGTTCAAGATATGAGATGATTAGCTCATAGGGTTCCCACATTTTGACAGTTCTTGATATATGTATCGAGAGGGAGAGCAGGAGGGAGACTGACAACCAAACTACTCTCCCTAAAGGTTGTACCAATTTATACTTCCATCACCGGAAATCATAACCTTTAAGCTAACCCTACAGCCATCCAAACAAAGATCTTGTGTCAGCCAGTGCTGGGGCATCATACTGGGCTGCCAGCGAGTGGTCCCTGAGCACTCTCCCTACACTTCATCTACTCCTCTTTCTCCTGACCACCAACCACAGTATGAGAAAAGTTTCAAACTCAAAATAGGAATACTGTTTTATAAATTGTTAGGGAAGGTCTTTCTATCTTTTCTTCTCTGACGAACCATTGATCCGGCATTACCTTCGAAAGGATTGTCCTTGGCATATGGATCCTGGGACTGCAAGTTAGCACGCTGATTGTAGTGATGCTCAGTGATGTTCTGAGATCCATTTCCCCCAGAACATTCACCTTCCTCCATGGGTTCTTCTAAAGCAAATGTAACTGATATGTTCTTTTTAGCTCTTACTCTTATATCTTCTTTCTGTATAGCAAGATGGAAAAAAAAAAAAGGTCAGTTGGTGCCTGAGAGTGCAGTGATTGGTCCCTAGGGCAGTGACATTTAATGAGCCGTTAACCTGTAGGATTGGCTTTAGAGGCCTCGGTTCCATTGAGGATTGTCTTTGAAGTGGTCTTTTTCCTTTGGCCATTCCCATCCGGGTAGCAAAACTGGGAAAGATAGAAGGGACAAAGCTATAGTGAAAAAAAGGTGCAAGCTCCTTAATCAAACACAGCCATCACCCCATCCCTGCCATATGTGTTTGGACAATGAAAGGGACAACCGAGCAAGAGGAGGTTTAGTCCTTTTACTCCTCAAAACCTTGATCCTATTCTTTTCCACATTCCTGTTCTCTCCCATCTTTCCTTATTATTGGGAGGATCAGAGAATGGGAAGCGGAGAATGTGGGGCAGCTTCAGGATATTCACCCGCAGAATATTGCCAGTATGCTCCTTAAGGGGCTCGTGCTCCTTTTCTGTGTGACAAACCAGGGAATAGAAACCCTATTTTGGAGAAGCTCTAATTCTGATGGCTTCACCTTTGTACAACTCATCCCACTAACATGATGACTCACATTGTGCCAGGGGGAGGGAGTACCGAACCATGCTGGCATGCTCAAGGTCACTGCTCTTGCCCCATTGGGGCCAGCTGCTCTTGAGAGATTTGCCCAGTGCTGCACAGAATCCAAGCCCCTCCCAGGACTCCCTGCTTATGTTGAAGATTGATCCTGCATCTATTCTTATCAGTACACCTAGCAGGCCGCTCAGTACCTTTCTGATGAGCATCTTTCGCCTAAACTTCCGGAAGCTGGAATGCTTGATGGGGGTGGCTGTTGGCGAGTACGCAGCTCTTCACGTTTATACTCAATAACAGATATCAGCCAGCGCAGGCCTTCAATTACAGGCTGATGGTTCTTTCTTTGGAGGTTTATAATGGCTGAACAGGGTTCCTGTGACAAAAAAAAAGAAGAGAAGGCTCCAGCCCAGGAGCCTGGGAGTCCTGGGGCCCACAATCCCAATCACCCTGAGCCAAAGAGCAGAGGTACATGTAAGCTCTGCTGTGCCTAGAGAGGCTCTTAAGACTTGCCAGGAGCGGGGAGGGGATAGCTCAAGTGGTAGAGCAAATTATTAGCATGCCCGAGGTCCTGGGTCCAATCCCCAGTACTTCCTGTAAAAATAAATAAATCTAATTACCTCTCCCCACCCCAACCGAGATAAAATAATTAAATAATACAATAACAAAGTAAAAAAAAAAAGGACTTTCCAGAAGACACCCAGCATTCACTCCTGAGAGAGTAAATGAAAGGCACAAAAGCTAAGATCCTTTAATCAAGTGTAATGTCTTGGATGTGTGACCCTGGACAAGTCACTGAGAGTCTCTGAGCCTTAGCTTTCTTATCCATAAAACGAGGCTCTTGAAACTTCCAATTTTAAAGAGCTATTTTGCAGGCCTAATGAGAAAACAGATGTGAAGTATTATCAGAGTGTGATATTTATTATCACTGTTGAGTCAGAAATCATGACCATGGTTGTTGCCTGGCGGGGAGAATCTTTGCCTAAGACCCGCCATAGGAGGCTGATTATGGACCAGGCCAGGAGAGGCATTGGCCTTGCCGGAGAGGATGAAGGCGGGGAGGGCTGGACACTTACCACTCGGCACGGGGACTTTTTCTCATTCATTAGTGTTTCCAGCAGCAGATATTCAATAATATCACAAGGGAGGCGGGCATCCTTCTTGTCTTGCTTGTTGGCCAGGCTAGGGCAGGGCATTGGAGAGAGGGAGGGAAGAAGAGAGGACAAGTGAAACAGAAATTGAGGTCAAGGGCAAGAAAAGAAAGGGAAGGGAGGGGTCAACCAATTCTGGTACAGTTGCTGCGTATCCAGGAACTAGCGTTCATATCCAGTGAGGTGAGCCAGACATTTTTCTAGCCACCTCTCAGTGAAGGAAAGAATAGCACAAATAATTTGAAACCACAATTAATCTCCAGGCCTCATTTCCCACTTCCTCTACGCTATGCCATTAAACTTTCATTAGAATTGCTACCTGGGATATGAACAGATGTGGAGCTTTGACATCCTCCAAGCTCTGTTCATGCTGGAGTTGGGGGTGCTAATGAGGAACCAAAAAGGCTAAAAGGGAGTGGGGTGAGGGATGCAGATTGATGGGCCACCCGAATTATTAGCCTGGAATAAGTGTTAGTTACATAACTTTTAGGCAGTCCACCAAGGGAGGAGGCCATTGGCAATGAATATACAAAATAGGGATTTTCTGCCATCGTCTCAGGGTCAGAGACTGAAGCCAGAAAAGAGAAGCAAATTTAAGAAGGCAGTCTTCAGGACAAGTTGAGGGATAGGGGTGGAAGGTCCAGATATTACTCTGTTTCCCTTTGATGCTCGCCTTCAGAATTATCTTTGCACCATTAGGTAATAGGTTTCCCCATGGCAGTGTCTGCTAGAAAGTGGCTCCTGAAAACCACCCCCAGAGGACTGAGCTGCTCCCCCTCACTGAGCCTAAGAGGAGAGGAGGACTAGCTGGATGTGACAAAGGGACCACCTAGGTCCTTCCTATGTCGCTGCTTTTCTAAAGGCACAAAATGGGAAGGGGAGATCAGACACAAAGGTAGAATCTTACATAAGGAAGGGTTTTCCTGCCACTCTTTCATCAGACAACAGGCGTGTTAGGATGACCTTCACTTCTGGCATGCGGCTGAAGTCACTGGAATCCAGGACAAAAACAAGCCCGTGTGCTTGCGCGTAGTAGTTGGGCCAGATTTCTTGACCCTTCGTATCTCCATTCAGCTCATAGATGGAAACTTCATGATCATCCAGCAGGAGTGTGGTCAGTTCAGATTGCATACAACTGCCCATCCTACTGGGGAGCACTATGCATAGGGGAAGAAAGGAGAAGTAACCACAAGACAGGGGTCTAGAGTTAGATGAAGGAATTTGTCACAAGGTGATCTGAGACTTGAATAGAGCCTGCCCTGAGGACTCCTATGGGGTGTCCTGCCATCCTGCTCATAGATTCATCTTCCTAAGCTGACACTTTACCCGTGCTACCCTCTCCTGGCTCAGGAACGTTTGGTGAGTGCCCACCGCTTCCAGGATAGACTACAGACTCCTTTACCACCTAACCTGCCAGATCCATCTCTACCTTGACTGGTGTCCAGGGTCCCTGGTCCACACGCCATCTCTTCCTCCCTCTACTTCTTGGCTCCTGCACCTCCCCACCCCCTACTCCACATGACTGTCACACTCTCTCTTGTCCTGGGCCTTCACAAGGTGCTATTCCTGCCGCTTAGGACACTCCTCCACTACGCTCTGCTGGCTTAACACCTGGTTGGTTTTTTAAATACCAATTTAGATCTTGCTTCTAGAAAGTTTTCTCTAATGCACACCACCGTCCCCCCAGTCTGGATAAGGTGCCTGTCTTCTGGACTTAACCACTATCATGGCACATATTACAGCATTCTGCATTCTGTGATTTGTTTGTCTGGGTTATAAACTGCAACAGGATAGGAACCCCTCGGTTTTACTGTTATTTTCACAATGCCGAGCACAGAAGCTGGCACACAGGGGCTGAAGAAATATTTATTAACTGAATTGGATAAGCGAATGAATAAATGAACAGAAAGCCCTTCTCTCCTAGCTCTTCTCAAGGCTCATCTCAAGTACCACTTTCTTTAGGAAGCCTCTCTGACCTGCCCGGCTCTCACTTCTCTCTCTCTTTGAGCACATGGTCTGTTACACTGGTCGTTCACCTCATTCTGTGCGTGTGCTGTCTCCAACAAAAATTTAAGCTCTGTGAGGGAGGGGCTCGCCTTCCCTTACACTTAGTAGGTGTTCAATAAATGGTCATCGTGCCTATTACTGTGAATGAGAGTATGAAGTCCTCTTCCTCATATCTCCCCCGAGAAACCATGCTAAACTCAGATTCATTTGCCCTTTCAGGGCTATGGTCAGACCATACAATCCTGCAGGGCCTTCCACACCTCAGTCAGCCCCAGAGAAACGTAGTTCAGCATGACAGCCTGTAGATACATTCCAGTTTGTTGAGCTGACAGTTCTGGCCTAGCTCTCTGCCTACATTAGTAGCATAATGATTTTATAGATTCTGTGCACTTAAACCTGGGAGTTCCAAGACCAGAATCAGTAGTGTCTTATTTATAGTATCAGATCTACCTGGGACATTTTCCATAGGATTGCCAGAACAAGTCATTTAGCTCTGAAGTTAACAGGATGCTTTCAGATCTTTGGAAATACATGATCCACACATTTCTATGTATACATAATATGTCTCTATGTATGTGTGTATATATACATATCACATTTAATGTCATCTCATAATGTCCTCTTCTGTTTTTATGTTAGTCAATGATTTTAATTATAGCTTTCGCATAACATACAATTTTTACTTATAACTTTGATGTGTTATTTGTTATGTCTGGATTAGACTACTTAAAAATAAATGAATAGGTTAAAACTCTAAAGGTAATTTTAAAATATTCATTGTATCAAGGCCAGCTTAGAGAGCAGTAAAACTCATGCCTGTTGTGTCTCATTATTGTCTGGTGTGCTTAAGATTTTGATTCCTGAGCCTTCTTCAGAGGAAAATATCTGAACCTTTGTTCCCCAGGTCAGTAGATGCGAAAGTGCTTCAAGTGATTCTGATTTTTGGCTCAGTACTCACTGTGCTCCAGGATCACCTGTGGAGCTTTTGAAACCCCTGCCACGAGGCCGCATTCTCTGAGGGTTTGATGCCATAGACCTGCGGTGGGGTTCAGGCATCATTTTTTTCAGAGCTCCCCAGATGATTGAAATCTATAGCCAGGTTTTAAGAGGCACTGCTCTAAACGCTCTCATTTAGAGCACCTGCTTGTGCTCATGCTCGGGTTTCTTGCCCCACATGACCATGCCAGACAACACAGTTACAGTGAATAGAGTCATTGACAGTAATGGCTTATGTCCCAAAATATTTTATAGCTGGTATCTTCAAATACACAAGTGATGACTCGTAGATTAGAACTTCCTGCCTAGGCTATTGTCTGTTTCTGGCAGTCATAAACATCTGCCGGAGCAGGGGAGGTGAGCTATTATGTTTTGGGTACATAGCAACCTACTGGATTGACTCTGGCAGTCCTCCATGGACAGAGGTGGCCTGAGATATTCTTCAGAATGGACATCAGTGGCGCTTTGCTCCTTAGCCATTGAAAACTCTGTGAATGAAGTCACAACCATAAACCTGTTGGTTTAGGAATCAGCCCCAAGTTATTCACCAAGCACAAGGCAAGTTACACAGTAAGAACTTAAGAGTCCAGGCTCTATCCTCTAGAAATGAGGATGGAAAGCAGACAGTATTCTCCTAGACAAAATAGCATAGGGGTAATTGCAGGTGAGTGCTTCTCAAAGCTGGCTGGCTTTGAGAAAGACCTGGGGAGTTCTTAAAATATAGATTCCCAGGCCTCACCCAGACTGGTAAACCTAGGAACCTAGGGTGGGGTTGAGTTGGGCTCTAAAAATTACCCCCACCTTTATCAGCAATCTTGTGATTTATCCTGGCTCCTTGGTTTTCTTGCTACTGCTTACCTTTTTACTGTGTCTGCCTATCAGAGAATTGGGAGAGGTGGAGTCAAATTTGCTGCCTGTTATAAGGTGGGATACTAGGCTGAACCACTGGCTAAACTGTGCTTGGGGCTGCCCCTCTGGGGGGTCGGTGGGGGAGAGGGAGAAGTTGTTAAGAGTCAACATGTAGCCTCAGGAGAATGGTGGAGTCTGGGAGAACAGTTATTCCACAAATGTATATGAGTACCTACCTGAAGGCAATAAAAGTACAGAGACTGGAGATACAGAGCTAAAATGATCCATTCTTTTCCCTCAAGGGTTCACAGTGCAGGGGGTGGACTTGCAGTTGCACAACGATGCCGTGGTAAGTGCATGATAGAGGGAGGCACAGAATAGAGTGGGAGCCAGGGAAGGAGGCGCTGGGCATTGGGGATAACTTTCCTGAGGTCAAGCTGAGGCTGTGTCTTGAGGCATTTGATTAAGCAGGTAGATGATGGAGGGGATGAAGTGCTAGGGAGCAGGACAGCATGTACAGAAAGTGTGGGCATGTGAATGAGAATGGTATGATGGCAGAGGTGTGGCAAGTCCTTCCGGTAACTGTGTGGACTGAATACTGGGGAGACAACTAGAGACGGTGAGACCAGCCAGCGGGCTATGGCTGTCATTCAAGGAAACTGATACTGGCTTCAAGTTGGCCAGAGGCAGAGGAGTCAGATTAGCCCTTTGCTATACTTTGAATAGGGCTGCCAGGTTATATAAAATATGGCCACGTGCTCATACCCCCTTCTTTTATTTATTAAAACTCAGTGGAGGGCATCCTATGCCAGCCACTGTGTTGGGCTCTTTGATTAACTGGCCTGCAGTTAGCAAGGTCTTCACAACTGGAAAAGTAGCTCCCTGCAATTCTGTGTAACTGCTTCTTGAAATGTCAAGGTATTAAACTGGAGATCTAGTATTAAACTTGCACATCTCTGGACTGACAACATTTCTCAAGCTCCAACCCTCTATATGAACTGTCACAAAGAGTTGCATGTTATTAAACTTCCTCATCATCCCACACTTGTCTTTCTTATCTAGACCAAATTCCACTTTAATTGAGCTCTGAAACTAGACACTGTTTCAAATATCCTTCATAATTGACTGCAGTGCTTTATATAGTCTGAGTTCATTCGTACTGACACCATGAGAGGACGTTCAATTAGGATAGCTTGTAAAGGGAGCAGGTGACAGACATTACATAAACAGGCTGCTAACACCTAAGGAGAGGAGTGAGTGAGTGTGTGTGTGTTGGGAAGTGTTTACCTTCAAAAGAGGAAATCTGAGGGCCATGAAGTAAGGGCTAGGAGGGAATTATTATTTCATTGGTCCCTGGGGCCCATGGGAGACCTAAACCAGTATCTAATGCTCTTAGTTCCTTACGTCTCCGGATCGCCTCCATAAGAACAGTTTTGCCTGAGTTGTCCAATCCAATGATGATGAGGGTCACATTCCTAGAAATGGAAAAGAAAAATGAGCCAAAGCCTTAAAAGCACCATTAGTTCCCAGGCTAAACAAAGGATTCTACTCTTCCTGGTGTTTGGGGCTCTGCCTGCAGTAGGCAGGCACAGCAAGGTGTTAGAAGGTGGTATGGGAACCCCTCCCCAAAGCCTCCAAGGCTGCTTTTCTTCCCCAATTCACTGGCTTTGTAGAATGGCCCATCCTCCCCCAACCCTGCCCCCAGTCTTGTAGACACTGCTTAGTCACTTCACCTAACAATAAATATCATAAAGACTTGTCCTTTGAGGGATTGTGGGCAGATACATTGGAGGAAATAAGAGAACAGGTCTAGAGAAATAATTACAACATTACCTTCGTGTCTCTTCAGTTTCCTTACTGTGAGGCCAGCAGGAGGTCAGTAGCCGGAACATGATTCAGTTTTGCTCTTTAATATTAAAGAAAACAAGTAAACAAGAAATCAGCCCCATTATTAACACCAAACCTAAGTCAGCTTATGAGTACACGGGTACTGATAAACGGAAAGCCTGGGACTACTGGAAGTCCATTACTTCATTCTGTCCAACCTTGCCTATGTCATATAGGGAGGGACTGGTTATCATCAACTCGAGAGGCAAAATAGGGTGATTTCTCACTAAAGCAACCCACACAGGCATGATGGCATCAGGTATGGCCTATCCCTTCAATCTTGGTTTATCCCTGTTAGGAATATCTTCATTCAGCTTTGGGGGTCGGGGTGGGATGGAGTGATGTCTTGGAGAAGAACTACCTTAGGTTTCAAGAAGGAGCTATTGGAAGACCTGTTCTAAGTAACAACTATCCATTAGGCTTGGTTCTCTTATTGCCTCTGCTTCAGAAATGTGGGTGTTGGTGACCCACTATCGTAGATTGCATACAATTTCTAGTGCTGTAAGAGACCTTAGAGATCATTTAGTCTAATGGATTTCAAACATCAGTCCAGGTGCTGTACTCTCAAAGATTCTTGGGGTTGCATAAGCAGCCTAGGTGGTTTCAAATTATAGCCATATTTGGGAGTGATTGCCTAAGTAAAAAGTAATTTACACAATCACTTCATGGTTAATCTATGTTGTAGCATGTATTAGCATTTTATCCCTTTTTATGGCTGACTAATATTCCATTGTATGAATATACCACATTTGTTTATCCATTCATCAGTTAATGGACATTTGGATTGTTTCTACTTTTTTGGCTCTTATGAATAATCCTGCTATATAAATGTGTATACAAATTTCAGTGTGTACATGTGTTTTCAGTTCTCTTGGGTGTATACCTAGGAGTATAACAGCTGGGTCATATGATAACTCTATGTTTAACCCTTTTAGGAAGTGCCAGACTCTTTCTATATTTTACATTCCTACCAGCAGTGCAGGATGGTTCCAACTTCTTTTGGTCTTTTTGTTTATAGCCATACTAGTGGGTGTGAAGTAGTATCTAGTGGTGGTTTTGATTCATATTTTCCTAATGAATAATTATGTTGGGGTCCAGAGCTGGAGGAAGCTCTGGTTGGGTTAACAAAGTACTTAGGCTCATACCCAGATGGGTTTTGCTTAGCTGTCTATGAGCACAGTGGTATGTGCCAGCTTAGCAGGGTTCTGCAGAGTCACCCACTGTTTTGGACAATGGCCTTTCCCACAGAGACTCACATTTCATATCATTTCTTAGAGCATAGTTCATTCTCTAGGAAATTATTTGGCTTCCCATAAGGACCTCTTGGAGAATGGCTCTGGTTTATGCCAGACAAAAGAGAAACCTTATACGTGGCCTATGATCAAAACCAGCCTCACTCCAGCTTTGCTCATAAAGCTGATAAGACCTGAAGCCTGAAACACCAGAGTCTGATCGTCTGGGTTCCATGATAGCCATCTCCCTTTGAGACGAGGCCAGTAGCAGCTTCATGTCTATTTCCTGATAATTGGCAGAGCTTCCTAACTTGATCTCAGGCAGTCTGTATTTGTTAGTGCCACTAAGAAAGGTCAAACTGGTATCACACAAATTCTTCCTTAAGAACATATCCTAAAGAAGGATACATAGGGTAACCGAGAAGGAAAATAATTGGGCTAGGAATTATCAGGTCCTTTCTTTCATTTTTAGCACCTCTCCTGGGTACTCTGGGATGAAATCACCTAAATTAAACCTGCCATTTTCAGATTTCTTATCTATAGAATGGAGATAATGATATACTTTTCTTACCTTGAGGTGGTTAATTATGTATCTGATTAGAAGTTGGTTCTTTTTGGGTGAAAGACATAAGATGTGTAGAATAATTGGAAGGTGTATTAAGCTTTCTAGCCTTCTTGGCAGAGTAACACAGCTCAGTTGCCCCCTTATAAAGGGTATGACATTGTCCTAACAGTGGCTGGCAAGGTTCTGTCATGTCCATGGCAACCACTGCCTGATTCATAGCAACCAAACCCACATCTCCCTACCTTGTATGATTATAGCTAATTACTAAATGAACTTTTAGTCATCATGGTTTCCTTTTTCAGTTTACAAAGTATTCGTATAGAACTTACTATTTACCAGCACACATTTAAGTATTTTATACATATTCAACTTATTTAATCCTTATTATAACATGACAAAAAGCAGGGCTTTCATTCTTTTTAAGAGATGAGGTTCACAAAGAGGTTAAGTAACTTGCCCAAGGTTACCCAGCTAGTAAGTCGTAAAGCCAGAATTCAAAGCCAGGTGGTCTGGCTTCAGCGTCTGTGTATTAAAGTTAAGGGTCTGACAGGCTGTGTGAGTGAGATTTCGGGTACCACAGTAACTGTCTCAGCTCTGGGCCTCTCCATTTCTTCTGGACAAACTGTATGGTACTTATCTTTTTTTTTTAGTCAACTTTTAAAAAACCTTTATTTTTAGAACTGCTTTAGATATACAGAAAAATTACAAATACAGATAGTCCCCAAATACCCATATTCCCCTATTATTAACAATGTTGACCTAAAACAAATAGACTGCCAACAAAAATGGGTTTATTCAGGGTCAACAAAGAATTAAAATTTGGGGTTTCCAACCATGGCAAGCCACACACAGGTACCTCTTACAGCAAGGAGGGGAAAAGGAAGTTGGGGGGCTATAGTAAACAAAGAGTCTGTTGGAGGAATTGAGAGTTGGCATTATAGTGGCTTTTCATTGACTGAGTTGTGGCAATCTCAATGGCTGAATTCTTACCAGGCAAGAGGAGGAAGTCTTTCTTCTTCCTGTTGGGTTCTGCTGTTGTCACAGGGTGTGAGAGCTCCCCTTTCTAGCCTCCTGACTTTCAGTTGTGATTTTTGTTTATTCATTTTTACATTTCCTCCTTTTGATCATGATCTTTCTCTAAAAGCATGGCTGATCAAGAGTCAGGTTTTCTGGTTCCAGTGGCTTTTTGTCCTTGAATGCCAGAAGGGACCTTTACTGGGTATAGTGTCCCACAGTGGAGGGAAAGTGCACGTATTGGAAACCTATTGAGGTCACATTCAAGTAACAAGGAAGGGTAGGAGGGAAATCTCTCAGGCATTTTTTATCTAAAGTCCATATATCATCAAGATCATAGACATTGGGGATCATATGAAGTGTTACATCATCATCAAAGGTTTGGCAGACAAACTTCCAGCAGGTCTGGTCTCGATGTCTCGGGTAAGCTGTCTCATCAGATGTTGTCTGCTTCAATTCCGGGAACTGTTAACTTTCAGGTCACCAGATGATATGCAGGTCCTCTCAGGGTGTGGTGCTTTCTTTAGGTATGTCATAAGAATCCAGCAGTCTGTTCTCTGGAGTTTGATGGCACAAAGGTTGGTTAGCAGTACCTGATAGGGGTCTTTCCAGTGAGGTTAGAGAGCCCTTCTGGTGGTGTCTTTTCCAGTAGATGAAATCTTTAGGTTGCAAGGATGCTTAAGGTCTTCGTCTCCTAAGAGCGCACTGTGAAAACATTGCTCTACCAAAACATGGTTATTTTAAATAGAAGCAATAGGCTTTTTCAATATTGAAGTATCTCTCCTTTTATCAGTTGTGGGTCAAAAGAGGCAGAAGCCAAGTGCATTGAGTGTCCTGTGGCTATCTCAAAGGGTGAGAGTTTGAGTTCCAAAAGGGATGGATCTAAGATTTAGAAGGACCAATGGCAATGCTTTTGGCTAAGTTACTTAGAGGGCCCTTACAAATCTGCCAAGTGAGTCTTAATAATGCTGTTAGTGCATTTGACCAGACCAGAGGGTTGAAGATGTTAAGTGCAGTGAAAGTGTTGTAAAACTGGCCAAGCAGTACAGACTTGCTAAAGTACCTGACCAGGAAAATGGGTCCCTTGATCATTATGAAGTTTGAGAGGAATTCCCCAGGTGGGGATAATATTTTACAAAAAGACTTTAGCCACAGAAGAGGCAGTAGCTTGTTTGCAAGGGAATGTTTTAGTCCAGTGTGAAAACATTCAGACCATGACTAAAACATATTTATATCTCTGAGATGGAGGAAGTTGTATGAAATCCAATTGCCAGACCTCGAATGGTCCATTAGGCAGTTTAAATGTCCAGGAGCAGTAAGAACAGGCTTCCCCGGGTTGTACTTTGGACTAGTGGGACAAGTGAGGTAGGTAGTTTTGCAGCCTTGTTAATGTTTCCCCACCAATACTGATTCATGAAAGCTATAATTTGGTCAGTAGGCCAATGGTTTAATGCATGTACAGTGGTTAGGAAGGGGAATTTTAGAGTCTCCGGTAGGACTGAGTTGTTATTTGGTCTGAACCAGAGCTTTCTCTTTTTATCAGACCAACAGTTGTTGTATTTCCAGTCTTGTTTTTCCTTTTCTGAGGTCAGCTGTTGGGCTCCTCCAGCTAGTTTTTCTTTTCTTTTTTTTTTTTAACTTTTTTTTATTTAGTTATAGTCATTTTACAATGTTGTGTCAATCCAGCTAGTTTTTCTAAAGTATCATTTGGGGAAATATCCCTTTGGACCATGACAGAGATTTGACTGCTGTTGGTTCCTTTAAGGGCAGCATTCCTTGTGGAAATGTCAGCAAGGTAATTTCCCTTATCTCCCAGGGAGTCAAGGTTAGAATGCTCTGGAATTTTAATAATAGCTTAAGTGGTAGGTAAAAGAATTGCATTCAATAATTCATGAACATAGGGGCCATTTTAAATTTTATGTCCACTAGAAGTTAGGAAGCCATGTTGCTTTCACAGTGTTCCAGAAACATGAGCTGCTCCAAAAGCGTATCTACTATCAGTACAAATATTGGGAGTTTTGTGCTTGACTCAAGTACAAGCTCTGTAAGAGCATATAATTCAGCCTGTTGGGCTGAAGTAGCCAGAGGTAAACATGCTACCTCAACAACATCAAAAGGAGTTGCAATAGCATATCCAGCACAATATTTGCCATTATCATCTTTTAAATAAGAACCATCAGCGAATGATGAGAAGTCAGCATTACCCAAA